CTCTCAACAACAGCACAGCAGAAATCTCGTGCAAACAACATAACAATTCTCTCAACAATAACACACGTTCCAAAACATAATAACTCAAATAAATGACTTTCACAATATGTGCCCACATGCCACGACATTTCCTCAAAACAGTTTCAATATCACAATCACGCATGGACCTAGGCTCAACAACACTGAATACAATAATAATAATGACAATAACACAAGAATACGGCAAGTAAATCAACTCAGGAACTTCAGAACACAAAGAAATGGAAGAACGAGCTCACAAAGAAGGACACAACAAGGAATAATGGTCTCAACAAGAATAGCTCAACAAGGAAGAGATAATGTGTAGCAATGATTCCAAATAAGGATAAGTCAACAATGATAAGGAATAATAAAACTTCATTTAGGGTTGAGCAATTACGGAAGAGATATAACAAATTTAATTAAGGATAAGCAATTACGGAAAAGATAATAATAACTTAAATTAAGGTTAGACAATTACGGAAAAGATAATAATAACTTAAATTAAGGTTATACGATTACGAAAAATATAATAATAACTTCAATTAAGGATAAGCAGTTACGTAAAGGATAGCATGAAAATAAAGAGACAACAACTTCAGTTAAGGCACATAAGAGTTTAATCGGTAATAAGGGTAGAACATGAAGCAATTAATTCCAAATAAGACACGTAAGGGTGAATTTAGTAAATGGGGGATTTAACATGACAAAACAACTTCATATCTAATGAATATTAGAACCTAAGAGCCCTAAACAGTCAAATTTCCACAAATAAGTCTGAGTACGTACTCGTCACCTTGCGTACACGGCCTTCACATGACACAATTAGCACAAATGACTTGAATCCTAAGGGGTAGTTTTCCCACACAAAGTTAGGCAAGATAATTACCTCAAAGAAGCTAGATCGTTATTCTAAGTTGACCTTCTCGAGTGAAACAATCTACGGACGGCGCAAATCTAATCAAAATAACTTCAATTCATAAATAAAACTCATAGAAAATAATTCCGAATAATAAAGCTTCAATCTTTAACAAAAACTAAAAAGTCAAACCAAAAGTTAAACCCCGGGCCCGCACCTCAGAACCCGATAAAATTCATAAAACCCGAACACCCATTTGATAACGAGTCCAACCATACAAGAATTACTCAAATCCGACCTCAAATCGCCTTTCAAATCCCCAAAATTTAGTCTAAGAAGTTTTCACAATTTCCCCCCAAATTTCCAACTCAAATCACTAATTAAATGATGAAAACAACAATGGATTCGTGTAATATAGCCAAAATCGAGTTAGAATCACTTACCGCGATGATTTTCTTGAAACACCCACGAAAGAAATCGCCACAAACCGAGCTCTCTAGGTCCAAAAATAAAAAATGATATGAAACCCTCATTTATATGGTACCATATCGGATCTTCCAAAGTGTTGACCGCACATATTTTTGTGTGGTCCGCACTTCCAAGTTCCGCGGCTGCGATCCAAATTATGCGGCCGCACTTAAGCAGCAACTGCACTACCAGGCTTTAGTAATTTTATTATACCTTTATATACAAATGTCCAAATGATAAATAGTTTACTTTTCTGGAAACTAAACTCAAAGGGCTATAACTTTCGTTTTTGGATCATCTCCAAATTTCTTATAGATTAAAAGATATAAACTTCTGAAGTTAGAACATCAACCTGAATTTTCCCTTTCTGCGGTCCGCACATTTTCCACTGCCTCCGCACTCTGGGAGTTTGCGGTCGCACATGGGCTTTGCCTCAGCACTCCACAAATGTTCCCTCCGCACTTCAACTGCTCCAGAACAAAATAAAAGTGCCGAAATACCCAGACTTGTTCAAAACTCTCCCGAAACACACCTGAGGCCCCCGAGACCTCAACCAAATCAACAAGTCCTAAAACATAACGCGGACTTGCTCGAGGCCTCAAACCACATCAAACAACGTCGAAACTACGAATCGTATCACAAATCGAACTCATGAATTTTTAAATCTTCCAACTTCCAAAATTCGTGCCCAAACATATCAAATTAACCCGGAATGACGTCATATTTTGCATGCAAGTTCCAAATGACATAACAGAGCTAATCTAACTCTTGGAATCGCATTCCGACCCCTATATCACCAAAGTCAAGTCTCAGTCAAACCTCTCAACCTTCCAAAACTCCAACTTTCGATTTTTTCCGAAATGCTTCAAATTACTCTACGGACCTCCAAATCCAAATCTGGACGCACGGCTAAGTCCAAAATTACCATACAAAGCTATTGGAATCATCAAAACACCATTTCGGAATCGTCTACACAAAAATCAAAAACTCTGATCAACTCTTACCGCTTAAGCTTCTAAAACAGAAATCCTTCTTCCAAATTGATCATGAATCATCCGAAAACTGAACTCGGCCACACACGCAAGTCATAACACATAAAACGAATCTGTCCGAGATCTTACGCCGCCAAACATGACGCTAATTCTCAAAATGACTGGTCGGGTCGTTACACTTTTAAATTACTTTTTTCACTTTTAAATTACTTATTTATTATAATTATGGAATTCTCTTTGAAACGAATCACGTGTATGTATTCACTTTTGTTTGGTGTGTTAAAATTATGTCACCCGTATGTGTACACAACTAATAACACTTTATTATTATTAAGATTGTTTCGTCCAAAGTTGCGCGAACGCATACCTTGGTTTTAATTTTGAGAATCGTAATTATGTCACGCAAACATATACATAATCACGATCATTCGATTAATTAAGAGCGCGCCTAAAGCATTCTAGCGCATTCATGATTTGTTTCTTCCTTAAGTTTGAGATTATTGCGAGGTCTAGAGTTATGAATATGGAATTATTTAAAGAATAAAGTATTTTTTAGGAGGCTAATTTTACCAATATTTTTTAGAGCATTTATAGGTAGTTCTTAATTGTGTGAGAAGGGGGCTAACATATTTATCCTTAAAGAATCAAGGGATTTTTACCTTCCTATACACTATTTGAAACTTTATTACCTTCCTTACTCAAGTTTCAAATTAATTACATGGTCATATATATTTTACCAATTATATATAAATAAATTTTAAATGAGTATTCCTTTATATTAGGAATTGAATAAGAAATATCAGTTATTTCCTTATTCCTTTATACTTGCCCACTCTCTCTCTCTCTCTCCGTCTCTCTATCGCTGTCTCTGTCTTCGTCTCTCTACTCTCACTCTCTTTTGTTCCCCAATTTTTCTTCATTTGATGTTCTCTATTTTTTATGCTTTTTTGTTGTATAGAGTTTTAATGTAATTCATTAATAGATGTCAATTGTTTTAACTTAGCAATTTATTTTCATGTTGCACAATTGGTGTTCAAATTGAACTTGTCAATCAATAAATTTTATAGGTATTTGACTATTCACAATTGACAGCCATTAAAAAATTTTGAAGCTTTGAAATCGAATTTGAGTTTTCAAAAACCATTATTTGTTTGGATTGGGTGTTGTTGCAAACAATTGGGAATATTGTTTGGAGTTTATATCTCAATTTTGGTGTTTTGGTGAAGATTAGACTTGATTTTGGCTGAATTTCAGATTGAAACTCGAACAACAAGAAGACGAACACATGACATACAATATACTTACGAAATTATAGTAAAGTTGTATTATAATTGTATGCAAATTGTATTCTGTTGTAGTTATATATATTTTCTTATTTGAATGTTATATGAAAGGTGAAAAATAGTTGTATAATGTATGAATCATTGTATAAAATTTGTATTTAAGTTATCAATACTATCTTTTTGCATAAAGTTGTTGATATGTATCAAAATTGTATTAACAGAGTAAGTTTTGATTGGAATTTTAGAGAGGAAGAAGCACACACCACAGACAAAATATATACAAAAGATATATTGTATAAAATTTGTATAAAAATTATATTTAAGTTGTATGATATTGTAATTATATTTAACTGGGTAGAAATAATGTATAAAAAATATAGATAAGTTGTAAATAAGTTGTACAATATATAATTAGTTATAAAATTTATTTTTACTATGTATGTTATTGTAGATATTCAAATTTGTATTAAATTTATACGAAATTTATTTTTAATTTGTATGTTGATGTACCATATATTGTTCTTAGAGATAGAGATTTTATGTGTTTAGTTTGAATATAAATATACAATGAAGTTTAGATTCAGTAGAAGTTTTCTTTTAGATCTTGCTAAAATCCGTTCCAAATCCTCCTTAACTTTCTATATAAAATAGTTCACACTATGCAATATGCAGTTCAAAAACTAAAAGCAAAATGTGCAACTTTTTTTAATAAAAAAATTTAAAATAAATAAATAAACTTGCAAGCTTTATTAATTTGCATGTGATTCTTCTTCAACAATATCTATGAAATAATAAGCAAAATTTATTTCGATGGTAATGTAAGATACTATATGTGCTGTCAACAGCGAGCTTTTTTCTTTGGGATAAGTCACAATGAAAAATTTTATACTCCCTGCATCCTATTTCGTTTTTACTCATTTATGTTAAAATCCGTCCCAAAATATGCAATTACTTGATTTGTTTTGTGGAAATGTTGACTGTTGAGAGTATCTTTGGTCCCAATATTCTGGAGAGAAGTGGGGAGAGAGGAGAGAAAAAAGGAAATGGGTGTAACTAAATTCCTTGATTGAAGGCACTAATAATGGATTGAGAGCCTTTTAAGGTGGAATGTATATAATTTGTAAGTAATCCTTGTTTAGGGCGGGTAATATAAAAAATTAAAATAATTTTAATAAATAAGTTTCAAATATTATATAGGAACGAAAAAATCTCATACCTAAATAGCATATTTTTAGAGTGACTACCTGGTATCGTAGTCGAAGGCTCAGCTAGGCCCAGACCACATTTTCGTTTTATTGGCCCAAATAGGAATTTAAGCCCATGTCCGTTTGTTCCCACTTCCCGCTATTTATCATTTTGTTTTTGCCGCCAATTAGATTTGGGAGTCTTATTTGGGAAGTTTCTCAAAGTTTAGAGAGAGAGAGAGAGAGAGAGAGAGAGAATGCTGGGAAGAGTAAGACGGTCAACAATTAGCTCGCTGGAGCAACTGGAGTCGGAAAGGCCATCATCGAAGCTCATGAAAGCTGACTCTCTCTCCATCTACGGTACATTTCCTTTTATTCTTAGTTCCACCTTCTTTGCAAATCATTGAAATGGTATCTGCTCCGTCTTCTGTTATTGTATCTTCTGGATTCATATGTTGCTTCATAAGAATTGAGGAATAGATTATGTGTACTGGTGGATATCTGATCATTTTGGGAAATGAGTTGATTATGTAGAATTCGCAGAAGATAGTAGATCCCTTTTAATTTGAGTCTCCAAATTCCCAGATTTTGGTATTCAAATACCTAACTTGATATTCTGAAAAAATAACTTCCAATTTTTCTTTTATGTATCGGAAAATCACTATAGAGCAAAAGCAACTAAAATTCAAGATAAAATCGCTTTGAAGGCCAATGAGTACCTACGGTACAAGAGAACATCGCTTTAAAGGTCAGCGAGTAATTAATTAATTATTGTTTCAACTTTTAATGTCAGTTCATTAAAAGCCACGACAAAGGAAGATTTTGTGACTTCTTTTGTAGTAGAGTGAGAAGCATCCTTCGAGCACCATTTAGATCTTGTAGCTGAGTATAGTAGCTGTATGTTATCCTCATTGGTAGAAGTAGTTAAATGGAATTAATTTAAACTCATATGCTCCAACTTGATGAATGAGGATGCCCTGAGAAGAAAATGATCATATGGTTGTACTTGTACATCTATAACATGAGGAATGAGGAATCAAGCTCTAGTATTCTCTTAGGTTACTTCCCAATCCCCAAGTCCATAAAGTCTGAAACAGCTGTAGTAGTGACAATCTTGTCAATAAGAAGGCACTAGAGAAGATTCATTGTCTTGTGTTGCTTCACTAGATTTATGCATCCTTGCAGGATAATCTAACTAAAGCTTAAATGTTGGTATGATATGACTATATATGTACAAGTGGTAAGCACCCTCTACCTCCAACTTGAGATTGCAGGTTCGAGTCACCAAGAGAGCAAAGGGGTAATAGTGAGCTAATAAACTAACGGTAAGGTATTTTTGGGACCAAAATTAAACGGAGGGTATAGTTCTATTTTCAGTAGTTGAGGGGTAATCATGCAAGTGCAGCTGCAGATAAATATTTAAATCTTCCTGAAACTTTATGTTTGAACGCTGAAGTATACCTTATACTTCCCTAAAGTTATAACCGCTTTTGGTTTTTCCCCTCTCAGTGAAGCGTTCTTTCTCTTCTATTTTCAGAAAAATATATAACTAACTTTGGCCATCACATACTCCTTGAGTCAACCTTATAGTCAACAGTATGAATATCCATTTGGGAAGGAGGGGCTTTGTACAAAGGTTGTCTACAGATAACTTCATTTGAAGAAGCTTTTACTGCTGTGGGCTTTGCCTTGTGCGCCTGCTTGTTTCATTGTCATGTTATCTTCCTCTTCTAGCTTTTACATCTATGATGATCCTTTTTGTTGTGCCCTCAAAAGAAGTACAGCTTGTCAAGCTTCATATTTGATTGATAATGAATTAGCATTCAAGGTAAACGTGCAAGAAACAAAGTGCAGTTTTAGCATATTCTAGGTTATCATATAATCTGGCTGTCCTCCAAGTTTGCTATTTGTATCAGATCTATTGCACTTCCACAGATTCAAGAAATCACATTCGAATTGGAAATATATCCTTTGTTTCCACCTCAATTCTTTATTAATGGAGTGTGCCATAGATGATGAAGAACATTTTTTTTTGAAGTAGATAAAGAGCAAATATACTTCTAAAAGCTGAATAATTAGTTAGTATCTAGTTGATAAGCTTTTCTCCTTCTAATGCAGAGACAACCCTTATGAAGCTAAGGGAAGGCTCTCGACGTGATACAAGCTTTCCTGCAGAGTGTTCAATAGATGGAAATAATCATTGCCTTACTTCAGGTGGTTCACCTAGAGAGGAGGCATCAATAACCGATGCTGATTCATCCAGTGAAAATCTTGAAGATACAAGTGGTTGTCAGCCCACAGGCTCCTCAAGAGAAACAAAGAAGAGCAACTTCTCTCTTGCTTATATGTTTTCCAGGTATAGAAGTTCTCAGTGTGCTGGAGGCACAGCTGATGAGGATCCAATGGTCATTGAAGATAGTATCTGTTCTGCAAACTCTTCACTTAGCCCTAACAATTCTCAGTTGATGAGCAGCTCAGTACAGACACTGTCCGCAATACCGGAACACATTTGCTCCCCTATGATTTGAGTTAAGATCATGTCATAAGTTTTCTGATAAATGTGGAAGAATGGTTGTTTTGCTATCATGGTGGTCCTGTTGTTATCTTGTACGAGTATTTTCTTATTTATTATTGTGCAAGAATTGCCCTTCCAAGGTAGGTGTAAGGCTGCGTACATCCTACCCTTCCAAGACGCCACTTGTGTGATTACACTAGGTGGTTGTATTATGCAAGAGTAGTTTATATGTGATAAATGAGTGGAGAAGCGAGGAACTTCCAGTAGTGTTGGTCAAATTGCTTTCTGGATGTATTTATTTTCTTTGTCAATACTATGAGGACCAGAAAGGATTTGCAACTGATCAATAAAAATGAGCATAATGTTCGATTTTGCATTTATTTAAGAAGCATTTGATGATCTGCAACTACTTGGTTAATTGGATGTGGTACTACTGCCACAAGAAGTGAGTTCATATTTCTGTATTTAGTCCAATGGCAGAGAATAAAGTGAGGAGGCTTATAAATTTAGAGATTTATATAAAAGTGAAAGCTCCAAAACGGAAACGAGAGTGCGGAGCATAAATTACGAAATGATATTTACTGTATTTTAATCTTCCACAGTTGAATATTGACATTGATTTAGCCTAAATAAATTACTGGAAGATGAGAAAGTTACTTCTTAAATACGCAGTACAAATATAGTTACCCAATCATAAGTATACTCTTAAAATGTTCAGGCGAGGGAATTGTTATGCAATAACGTCTTTCTTGAGGCAATTAATCTCCCCTCAAAATACACACTTTTGGCATATGCAAAAAGGCATTTTGTAGAATACAGTTTAAGGATAAAACATTACAGAAAGAATCGGCGAAAGCCGTTATTATACTTGCCATAAGTGAGAAAAAGCCCAAAACGATACATTATCTTTAGCTTTAGACTCAAAGTCATACATATTCTTTCACATGAAGCACTAATAGTCCATTTACTTTAACAAAGTGGTGCACTTTTAGTCATAACACTGAGAAAAAGCCCAAAACCATACATTATCTTTGGTTTTAGACTCAAAGTCATACATATTCTTCCACATGGAGCACTAATAGTCTATTTACTTTAATAAAGTGGTGCACTTTTAGTCATAACATTAAACACATTTTAATTTTTAACAGAAATCTAAGATCTGACAAAATATCTGTTCCATTTATTTTCTTTGTTTACCGAAAGAAACAAAGATGACAGATTTATCTAGATAGCAAATAGTAAATATACATAGAATTTACTTACTATTTATTTACTATACATAAAATATATATTTTACTAAGAAATGTTAAACACCGTTAATTTTTATTTGCAATGATTGTTATCTAGATAACCTAAAATGTTATCTAGATTTTTTTTATTATATACATAATATTTACTATACCTTGACATAAAATAAATATATATTTATTAGATTTTTTTATTTTAAGGGGAGTCAACGTATAATAAATATACATAAAATAAAAATAAATTTTATGTATATAATAAAAAAATCTAGATAACATTTGAAGTTATCTAGATAACAATCATTGCAAATAAAAATTAACGGTGTTTAACACTTCTTAGTAAAATGTATATTTTACGTATAGTAAATAAATAGTAAATAGATAAATAGTAAATAAATTCTATGTATATTTATTATTTGCTATCTAGATAAATCTGTCATCTTTATTTCTTTCGGTAAACAAGAAAATAAATGGAATAGATATTTTGTCAGATCTTAGATTTCTGTTAAAAATTAAAATGTGTTTAGTGTTATGACTAAAAGTGCACCACTTTGTTAAAGTAAATTGACTATTAGTACTCCATGTGAAAGAATATGTATGACTTTGAGTCTAAAGCCAAAGATAATGTATGATTTTGGGCTTTTTCTCTGCCATAAGTTGTATTTGGTGAATATGATTGCAAGTCAGTATTTATTGGATACGATTTATATTTGCTAATAGACACTTAAATTTTTTTCCTTTCTCGAATCATGTTTAGATCCTTGTTCGTCACATATAAATTTTTTTTTTTCCAAAAGTGTAGCTCTTCATTTATAAATCTGTAATAGAGTAGTGAGTTATTTTCAATGCAGCAAATCACATATTTACCAAGGATAAAAAAGTTAAACTAATAAAGCATCATTGAGTCTACATATGCATAAAGAAATTTGACAATCATTGATTATATAGGAAGAGAAACTTTTTATTTTTATTTATGTTATAAGTCATTCAAACATTTATATGTAACTAATAAGGAAGTCTTAAACGGGAATTGGAAAAAACTTAGGTATGTAAATTAGTATCTTACGAATCATATATAACAAACGTGACTTTATAAATATGTGAAACGCACATATAAATAACTTTTGTGACTTATAAAATGCATTTCGCATTGCCACTTATATATCGCCTTGGTAGCTATTATTGGTAGTTGCAAATTATATTCTCAAAATCCCTTATAAATAGCATTTATTAATTACGGACTTATAGATCACATTAGTGATTGCGACTTATAAGCCCATTAGTGACTAGACTATTAACGTATTGCCTAATTGGGACTTAAATCGCATTTATTGCAACTTATATAAATCGGCGAATAACTCGGGGATTCACGTGTGACACTTGCAAAGAGTGCTAAGGGGCATACTTTCATTTTGCGTTAATTACCCCATTCGTCCATAGCGCTCTCTTTTCTCACTCTCCGGTGTATACGAGCCACCGACGCCTCCGCCGGGATCATTAGCAGCCACCGTCTTCCTCCAATTTCTCGATCTTCAACGGTGAGTCCATCTCTTCCTCCTCAAACCCTAATCATCTAGCCATACTACTCTTACACTGTCACGACACATTCTTGTCAATGCACCTGTCCAAATTCCAAATCCACTATCATTTGTCCTCCCTTGCCGTATTTATCCATCTTAATATAGGCTCTTCCAATCTTACTCGGTGGGTCCAAACCCAATCTGTACTTTAATTCCAACAACATGTGTATTTGTATCTATGTTATCTGCTTATTTGTTTTACTGTTTTCTTCTAACTATGCTAGCAACTTGTGAGTTGTGCTGCTTCACGGTCATTTTGAAATTGTAAATTGATGTTTTATCTTAGCTTCTTATCTGGTTCTAGTGAGATTTAGCTAGTTGGAGGGAGCAGTACTTTTATGTAAATCAGGTACTACTACTAGTATGTTGGATGCAGTATGTAATGTTGTTGACATATCTAAAGCAGAACCAGTCATAGCAAATGTGGACCTTCTTTATAGTCAGTTTTGTTTAAAATGTAAAGAATGTCAAAGAATCGTGCTGACAAAATACAATTTCTAATTTCCTTTTATGGTAATAAATAGGGCTTTGGGAGAACGCCATTTTTATTTTCTACTTTGATAAGTAAATATGGGATGATGCTACCAATTCCGTCTGAGTATATCCCATTTTCTGTCAATCACGAATATTGTCAAGTTAGATTAGAAATGAAGAGTAGTGCATACTGAAGCAGCATTGGACTGGGAGCGGAAGCTGTAAATCATTTGATTTTGTGCCTAACCAATTTACATATTTACACATTAGAGAAATTCATACCTTGAAAGTTATCAGGAAAGACCGAATGCTGTTTCATATTTCAGTTAACAGATAGTTTTTTCCACTTTATAGTACATGGAAACTTAATTCCCCCACCCCACCCCCTCCTAAATGAGGACCAATAACAGGGAAGTTTCTATTAAGGGCTTAAGAAATGGAGAAGAAATAATCTTATATTGTCCTCTTATGGTTAAAGAAAAGAAGAATAATGGACTAAAAACTTAAATAGAAGCTAGTATAAATTAGCAATTACTTTTTATGATTGTGTGACAGTATGATGATTGAAGGTGATAGGGAAAGAGGTAGATTAAAAAACGCATGTCCAAAATTGTCTCAACGGAATCAATATGGACGTGGCATAGAAGACAATGGAATAAAGGTTCCATATAGATGATACCATCCATGTCTGTGAGGAGCTTCTTTATTTTGGTTAAGATAACCGTATGTCCGTGTAGGGATAAGTGTCAAAGAACCTATTGTTTTAAAGAATTCCTAATTTGCCTTAAAGACATTAGTTAAATGTATAATTAGATGTACCTTATGAGCAGAATGAATGAAGAGGAGTCATACAGTCGGTCCCGACCAGTTCAAAATGATTGATGCACTTGACCAAAATGATTGTTGGTGAATGCTCTGGTAAATATCTTTTGCTTTAGTAAGAAGCGGACTTAGGTTCTGCAGACTTGCTCATAGTAATAGACAATAGACTAGTTTATCAAACAAAAGAAAAAAGAAGTAAATGACATAATACTAAGAAACATGTACTTTTGTTATTTCAGATATAGATGTCAAATGATGTGGAAAATCCTGAAGATGGAGATGCCAGGAAGTCTTCAGATGCTTCTTCGCCAACCCCCAGTCTCCAATCGACTTGGTACGATGCCTTACTTCAGCAAGCATCAGTTTATGGAGTAGCTGCTGGATACTGTCTATCAGCATCACTACTCTCCATCATTAACAAGTGGGCCGTCATGAAATTTCCTTACCCAGGGGCACTAACTGCATTGCAGTATTTCACAAGTGCAGCTGGAGTCCTCATATGCGGGGGGCTCAAGGTCATAGAACATGATAAGCTTGATCTTGTAACAATGTGGCGGTTCCTGCCGGCTGCAATTATATTTTACCTATCTCTTTTTACAAATAGTGAGCTTCTCCTCCATGCCAACGTTGATACTTTTATTGTCTTCAGATCAGCTGTCCCCATCTTTGTTGCAATAGGAGAGACCCTCTACTTGCATCAGCCATGGCCAGCAATTAAAACGTGGGCATCACTAGGTACAATCTTTGCTGGTAGCGTGCTCTATGTCACTACTGATTACCAGTTCACACTTACGGCTTATAGCTGGGCATTGGCTTACTTAGTGAGCATGTCCATTGATTTTGTTTATATCAAGCATGTTGTTATGACAATTGGCTTAAACACGTGGGGTCTCGTGCTATACAACAATCTTGAGGCTTTGATGCTTTTTCCTATTGAGCTGCTTATAATGGGCGAACTGAAGAAGATAAAGCATGAAATTCAGGATGAGTCAGATTGGTACAGTTTTCAAGTGGTGTTACCCGTAGCCCTGTCGTGTTTGTTTGGTCTAGCGATCTCTTTCTTTGGATTTTCTTGTCGTAGAGCAATATCTGCTACAGGCTTTACTGTTCTCGGCATAGTGAACAAACTATTGACAGTGGTGATAAATCTAGTCATCTGGGACAAACACTCGACTCTTGTTGGGACAGTGGGACTCTTGATCTGCATGCTTGGTGGTGTTATGTACCAGCAATCCACGAGCAACAAGCCCAAGGCTGTGAAAGATGTAAATCCACAAGCAGCTGATGAGGAGCAACAGAAGCTCCTTGAAATGCAAAGCAGCATACAGAGCAGTGAGAATGAGAAGCAAGCTACACAATCGGGAGATGAGAAACAATAACATTTTCTTGGGAAGAGTTCCCTTTTAATTTTTGTATGTCAAAGATATTGTTGAATTCAATATACACCTGGTCGAAAAGCCAGTAAGTGCCTGATTGGGTATGAAGTCAGCTGCCAGTTACTTAGAAGGAGCTTTCACGAGGATAGGAGAGTGGATTGCTATTTTTATTCATGGGTATTGAAGTCAGCTGCCTTCAACTTTGCAAAAGTACATCTTACGTTTATCTTCTATAGTTTTGATTCGTATTCAGCTTACTTATTTAGTAAGGTTTCTCCTCCCAATTTGAGTAGTGGGTGATGGTGGAGTAATATTTGTGTAATACATTTGTTCTACATTGTGACGTACTATTCCAATATGCTCTGCCATTCCTGTACACAGACCAGTGACATGTTTCTAAGGGGGACCAAAAAAGCACTTTGTCTAACTACTATGTCCTCACTTGCTGACATACTTTGCATAACCTTCCTTTCAAGAGAAAAGGGGAAGTTTGTCTTCTTGGGTATCTTATGTGCAAACAGGTGTGTATTCCATAATCAGACACTGCAGATTTCGAGCAACTTTTGGCATGTTACGTCTCTGTTGAATCAGCAGATTGCTTCTCTTTTTACTTTGTATAGCCTCATGCATATGGATATGCAAAGGCAAAGGAGAGTCAATATAATGATTCAACAACAGATACTCTAAGACGAACAATTTAAAAAATTTCTTCCTAGTAATTTATGTACACTGGAGTCTGGACGGAATTTATCTTCGTAGTTGATTATCTAGTAAATTTTCATACATGAAAGGAGTCCTCTTGATTGGCGATTCGCAATTTTGTAGTTGTATTGTAAAAGCTCCAGTAATTTCTCTGTTTAGACCAAAAGAGAAAACTCCATTTATAAAGGTAAATTAGTCAAATCACAACAAATTTTTCATCATTGAGAAATAGGTTAAAAAGAATGGTTACTAAAAAAAAAAGAAGAGAAAGTGAACTTGTGATCCAGTTATCGACTCCAAAAAGCATGGAATACCTAAATAACTTTCGAAGTAAATTGATCCTCATAACCTGTAAAGGAACTTTGAGGACAGAGGTCTTAGAATTCCGACGTCCAGTTTGCGCTGAACTTGGAACGAGAAGCTAATAAAGCTCTTCTAATGAACCGTTAAAATTGCTTTTCTTGTAGCATTACAAACACACTTCTCTCTTTAAATAGAAAGTTTATTACAATGGCAGAGTAATATTCTTACAAAATAGAATTCATCCATCTCTTTCAGGTTAGTGAAACTGAAACCTTCAATTCTAATGATGGAAATCATATCTCCTTGCGACATTATTCGATCAACCAAGGTTCTTGAACTGGTGTCCATGAGCACAGTTCACCTTCTCCAAACCAAAGCGCTGCACGAAGGAAATGAATATAGACATACATCAGTCGATCAGAAGACAATCACGGCATACTCATTTCTTTCTTTTTTTGATGAAGTAATATGTATCATTAAGAAGGAATCAAGAAGATGCAAAGTTAAAAGAGGCATATGTGATAAATGAACAAAAAATTACAGGAGAACAATGTTTGCCCCAAAACAAAGTCTCAATCTAGGACAAGCGAGCTAATAAAGTCCAACAGGTGTCCTGTACTATTTAAGGGGGACAACTTTGTCCAGCAAAAAAGGTTGAGCAGGCATTAAGATTTGAGTAAGTGGTTTGGGGTTGAGGTGCCATCAAAGCATCTTCTATTCCTCTCGTTTCATAAACACCAAAAAATAGTTGCAGGGATCATAAGCCAGATCTTCTTCATGACCTTATCAACCTCCCAAAGACTCCAGCTCATACTCATTTCTATCTTTCTTTCTTTTTTAAAATCTAGAACAGCGGTTTCTGTATGTACCATATCACTTATTAAGACAATACTATGCGAGGAATTTCAGGAGAGGGGAGAATTTGAAAATCGGATCATGAGAAAGCCTATAACGTAGAGAGCATTAACCACCTATTCCTTCATTGTCCAGTAGCAGCTGACTTATGGAATTTCTTTTATTCCATCTTTGGATTATCCTGGGTCACCCCTCAGTCAGTCAACGAAGCCTATGATAGCTGGTTTTTGTGGAAAGTTGATAAGGCCATCAGAAGGAAATGGAAAATGATCCCAACAACTATTTTTTGGTGTATCTGGACAGAGAGAAATCACAGATGTTTTGATGGTGTCTCAACTCCAACATGCTTCCTGAAGGCTAGATGTTTAGTTAGTCTTTTTAGTTGGAACTTCATGACCCCTGTAACTAGCACTGACTATTTTTTGGACTTTGTTAGCTCTCTGATCCTAGCATAGCTTTTTTTGTATTAATAGAACTAACAGTCATCTCTCTTTGTAACCTTTTGTTTCCTTATGCATCTTCTTGATGCCTTTTTAATGATAACACTTTACTTCATCAAAAAAAAAAAAAAAAGTCTATGATCAAGTGAACTGGGGGTTCCTAGACTTCATAACGTTAAAGATGGACTTTGGAGTTGGAGAAAATGGATCAAATACTGCATATTGAGGTACTCCATTCTTGTGCATGGAAACCCATGTGGATTCTTCTGTAGTTCGAGGGGCTCTAGGCATGGAGATCCGCTATTAGTCATGGAGGCGTTGAGTAAGATGATGGATAAAGCTGTGATGGGCGATTACTTAGGGGGTTTCAATCAACGATTGGAGGACACATCATGCAAGCTCTCTTCAACACACCAACAAAAAGTTCAAAATGAGCATACTTAGTTGACAAGTGCACAGAAGGTCACTACGGATAAATTTCTTTGAGATTAACTACTTAAGTAGGTAGATCATAGATGGTGGATGAACAAGGAGCGTCAAGAAAACATCTACATGAAGAATGAACAGGCAAGTGCACTTTTGATAAATTAAAGGAAATGGGGATATTTTCATAAAAAGAGTGATAATATAGATCTACTCAAGATAACTTCAGTTTCGGTCTGTCCTTTGATTTTCACCCTAATAAATTTATTGTCACCAGCGGTGAAAGTTACAAAAGAAAAAAAAATGAAAACAGAAGTACATTAGTAAAAATAGAGATGAGAGTGAGAGAGAGAGAGAGAGAGATTTAAGAAACGCACGGGAGAATCAGATATCAGTAAAACTATGTCTTTTCCCTCCATATATTCACATGCCAAGTCAAACATACATGGAGAGAGAGCCATTGTAACACTTATAGTACTTTTGTTTTGTTTGATATGAAAAGCAAAATTGCAATACTTAATACTTCGTAGTACTTTTTTTTAATTATAAAGTTAATACTTCGTAGTATTTTTTAAGTACAAAAGTGAACCAGAATCAATCTCTCTTTTTTTATATGACGGAAGCGTAAAAGAAAAACAAGTGTCATTCTTAAAGAGAAACAATCTGGCTAAAAGCATGCAATGGCATTTCTGTACACTGGCAGGTGATTATCACAAAGTGAAGGTGGAGTGTGACTTTATCATCTCTGAACAATAACATGAGCTCATTTTCTAGTTAAATAAAATATGTGCAATGGAGAGATACCATGGAAACGTAGTTAAACAAATATGTACACAAAAAACATTTCTAGGGCTAATTAGGAGGTCGGTATCTGGCAAATCCACAATATATTCTATATTTTACGTCATCTCGAAAACATCAAAACTGAAGCCACTCCTTTTAGACATGTAAAGACTCTATCATAGAAACCAATTAAGTGATTCTACAAGCCATTCACATTTATTTAGCTAGAACTTTACCTATTTCACGCTTGCCATTGTCAGGGCTATCACTTCCATGCACCACATTTCTGAAAACAGATTGTCATAGAAATCTAGTAAGTACTTGGAAACGTTGAAAACTTCACGTACCATGACAGTGTATTCATTGAACATAACATATAAACAAAACACTAATATATGTTGCCCAACCTTCCAGTTTGAACAGCAAGGTCTCCTCTGATTGTGCCGGGCTCCGCGTTAAGTGGATTAGTTGCTCCTATTAGCTTACGGGCAGATGCTACAACACCAACACCCTCCCAGGCCTTGCCAGAGATAGAATAGAATCCAAGATATTAGGAAGCTCAGAAGATTGCCAAACATAACATATAGTGTGAATATAACTCATTGGTTTCAATTAGTGAATGATGAAAATGGATTAAATAGCAAGAACTCTACCATACAGACAACAGGACCAGAGGTAATGTAGTCAATCAGCTTGGGGAAGAATGGTTTGGACTGTAGGTCCTTGTAATGCTCCTGTTACAATTATAAATTTTTTAGCAATATAATCAGGAATTAACAGGGACGATATAAATAGATCTGAGAAATAATTCAGAAAATTAACATAGTGATTGGATTCCCTTTTCTGATCGATAAACAAGCCTAAGGATACAATTCTCTGCTTTTCTGAAAGCAAATAATAAAAAAATAAATTTGATACAATCTTAATAGGGTATATGGAATTAATTATTAGACCATTCCTTAGCTATCCTCTAAAAGGCTTCATGTGGTATGTGAAGTTTGTACTTCTCACTTTGTCCGGAACATGCTTTCCATTAGACTCATGCTTCTTTTTATTTCCCATTAGTCCAACCTATATGAAAATGTGACATGAATGTTGTTAAACCTTTAATCTCCAATCCTGATGCATTATCAAACTTTATCTTATGGTAGTTTCTGGGTTTGACTCAAACGCTATTCGTTCCTACATTTACACAATATCAGAAGTGTAATTCTGTAAATAATGAAGGTTTGTAAAGGGGCAAAATGGCCTACAAAGCCCTTAGACATAAGTCTTGAAAAATGGTGGGAAGGAGGTAAAAGGGGAGGGGTTTTGTGGGGT